GGGGGGGGGAGAATAGCATTCGTAAGTCTGGGCAAAGAGTCGTAAAAGGAAAAGTCTCTTAATGCTGCGCAAGGTCGTTGGAAACTCATGACTGTGGAAAATCAAAGATGAAGTGGATCAATCAATACAATGGAGATTATGATTAATTGGGATCGTATCAACTGAACTTGGCTTCGTCTTTCGCTCATATACCTTGGCATAATTTCAGATCTATGCAAACTAGGCTTTCGATTCGCAATTCAGCGCTTCAACTCTTTAATGAGATGTTTGAGCGGAGCTATTTTTCCTCCGACTAATCTGTTTATACTGCTTAAATTAGCGCTCGTTTATTTCAGGAGATCCAAACTTTTACAAATTATTTAATAAGAGAATTGCAACATTATGGTACTTCCATTCCCTCGTAAGCTCCATTAGATTATTTTTCAAACGAGCGCATCCAGATAATGAAAAGGGAAAATGTGCTTAGGAAGCGTCGCGCGTGCCTTTTATACAACCGACGCGGCGAATTTGCATAAAATTTAAATAACTATTTGGATGCTCTGTTTCTGTTTGTTTAAACAATATTACCATAAAACCTTTCTTTCTCGAGATGTCTATAAAAGTCGACCGACACGCGAGAGAAATTATGCGAATCGCCAGACTAAGTACGCTTAGGAGACTGAGCGACGTGCAAGACTAAATCGATTAAAAGAATCACGTATGGCGTTTGTATACTTATGGACGTACCTCTAGAGGATGTAGCAAACTGCATGTGCTGCGAATATTTTTCAATGAGCCTCTTGATTAGATCCACCTGCTCCAGAGTCATCTGCACGGCGTTGAGATGCTGGGACTCGCATGGCACGTATGCTGCCCAAAACTGAAATCAGATAACCGAAATTTTTACGCTTGGCTCGATAATCGTTTATATGCATCAATATAACGAACTTTTCAAATTGCCGTAGAAAAAATTGAAAAGGAGACAGGAGGGATTAATGTAAAAGGAATTATATAATACGGAATAAAGTATGGCTATCACACGTCGATCATGGACTAAGAAGTTTAGAGCTTAACTCTATGGGACACATTAAATCAAATGAATTTGATTTTGCACTCCAGTTCCTGTTTTACTGCAAAATCAAATAAAATAGCGACGTATGTAGGAAGCTGTTACTCAATTAATGGCTGACCACCACTAAATTCTCTTTTACGCATGGTCATGAAATTCAACTATAAACAGTCTCATCATTCTCAAGTAACATTCAATAACAACAAACCTATAGTTTCTTTACAATTCGCTTTGACAAACGATGTCCTGGAAATATACGCGTATAAATATTTATTTGCAAATATAGTTTTGGTCCTTTAAATATTCAATTAAAAGTTCTGGTCTTCAAATTTGTTCGCATAATTAGCTGTACAAAAGAGTTAATTACATAAAACTACATAAGACTCTTTCCTTATACTCTAATATTCTTCATGAATTCAAATTAATTTCAAAATTAAGGAAATACCATAGCTACGACATAAGTTTCTACTAAATGAATGCAATTTTATTGGCGTACAGACAGTAACGTACGGAAATATATTGATAAACAGTTGAAGTCGAACGATACTATTTTAAAATAAGTGCATTTCTCCTTTGTACTGTAATCGTATTCAATTTTTATCTATTTAAGCTTCTTTTTACATTTTTACAATTCGAATTGAAAGAAAAATTAATTAATATTTATCTTAGTGCACATAATCGAATAAAATTTTGGTCAGTCAATATTAATAAATTTTTTTTAATTTCAAATATAATTATTATTATATCGTAAGGACTTCAAATTGTTCAAATTCAATAATCTTAACCTTTAGAAGCATTAACTATATTGCTGCGTTCTTATACAAATATTATTGAAAATTGATATTAATGTATTAACAAAAAGATAATAATAATCAGAAAAAAATATAATAATAATAATATATTATAATTTTTTATATAACGGCAGTTATATATAAATTAATGTTTAATTAGTTTAAAATTACTTTTAAAAATAAAAAGAATTAAAATTAAAAAAGAAAAAATCTTGATGATTAAAATTAAAAAAAGAAGAATGATCTTGAATAAAAATGAATAAATATCTCTATGTATCCATTAATTAATGACTTATCGCTTTAAAAGTTATTTACTCTCAATCTTTTCTTCTATTTGCTGAAAATATTGAGACGTAGATTTATTTAAATTTTATATATCCTCATATATCTCTTGAGTTGTAAAATACTAAATTTCTTTTAATAATTACATTACAGTTTTCGCATATAAAATGTGAATATTAAGTTGATTAATGAATTCAATTTATTGAAAGACTGTGTTAATATAAAATTTGTCATAACATTAATTTGTATAAAAATATAACTCACAAGATATTAAACATTAATTTTCGTTCCTAAGGTATTAAAAAAATTTTTTATAGTTAGTTTAATTATAAAGTTTAATTTTTCAAGTAAATTTCAAAGGCATTTACAACATAATATATTGTATTAGTGAAACCTTGTTTAATCGATCGTACAATATTTAAATTGTAATATACTGTATAAATTTTCAGGTAGTGATTATCGGTATTGAAAATAAATCAAGTATATTAAACTTTTTAAAATAAATGTTGATAAAGATACTGTAGGAATTTCAAAAATCTCTTGAAATCTTTACGTTTATTTTTCATGTATGGTATTTTCAAAATTTTCAATCGTATAAAATAAATTTACATTGGTATTTTTTGTTAATAAAAAAAAAATATATATATATATATATATATATTATACGTTAGTAGTAAGTGATTTCAATATCTTTATATAAAAGAAGAATTTATGTACAAATTATTAGAAAAGAATATAAAGGGTAATTGATTCGCGTAATGAATTTATTGTTTTATAATACTATTTTGAGAAAATATTTTCCCCGAAAATTTATACATGATACGATGGACTACAGTAATTAAAGGTATGCGAATGTTATGATAAACTGACGTGATAAATATAGTTTTTTGATCTGAATATATAGTTTCTTCGAAATTCAAAATTCCATTACTATGGATTGTTGGTTATTTTCTTCCATTGTTATAGAATGTCGTTTAATCGAAAGATGGACTTATAATTTTTAATATACTCTATGCGTATAAATTATAATACAGTATATAGTATTCTTATGTATTTATGAAAGATTTATACCTAAAACAATAAAAATATGGAAAAAAATATGAATATTCCGAATCCATAATTGACTATAATATAACAATAGTTGCAGGAGTTATACATCCAGGTAAGACTTAACAGAGTATTTATAGTCATAATCATCAAGCATATATCATTATCTAACTAAATTTCTAAATAAATAGTTATATTATCTATATTAGGTAGGCTGTTTATTAAGGAAATATATATAAATCTATAGTTTGTGATCCTTACAAGTCACATACAAATGAGTAAAAGCAACTGAAATTTCGTCAAACAAATCATTACTATTTTTTTTTAATTTGGCTATTTTAAATAGCATAAACAAATTATGAATTAGATAAATAGTAGAGATAAAAAATTATTTTAAATATTCCCTTGAATCGCAGTACGTTCGTGTATGGAAGCCAACAAATCTTGTCTGAACTCACATCCTACTCTTCTGTTTTCCCTTATCTATTTGAATACACGGAGATGAAAGAGAATTCAATCTAAAAATGCATCATTTCGCGGGTTTATCAATCCTCCTCCTCCCGCCGCCCCTTCAAGCGTTATCGTGTAATTCTAGAAAAATTCCGACTGCACGCTTTTTGCCAAAGTCGAATCCACAAAAGAACAGATTACAATCCGCCAGTTGGCACAAAGACAAGAAAATAACTGACGTTTTCATATATACAACATCGACGATAACGACAACATCGACGACGACCACAGAGCCCCAGATAGAGATAGATAGATAGATAGATACAGAGAGAGAGAGAGAGAGAGAGAGAGAGAGAGAGAGAGAGAGAGAGAGAGAATAAAAAGCATAGAGAAACAGAGTGAGCAGCGGTGTAAGAGGGTGGGTGGTGGGTGGGGAGGAATGATATAGGGGAAGTGAGGAGACTACTCAAACAGCAATAAACTCTCTCCATCATCACGATAAATCGTTCGAGCGAACTCTTTCTTGCAACGGAAAAGCAGCGGACTGGGCGAAAATAATATAAAACCTAGTTAACCCTTTAGAAATACAATGACATACATATACAAAGGTCTCTTCTTTATTTGTTTTCGCTTTTGTTTTTAGTTTCTTTGGAAAGTTTCGTAGCGTATTTAGGAGACAGTGTATCATAAGGTAAGATTAGTTTCGCTTTTGAGAGTCGTCGGAAGTAGAGTAATTTTTCATGAAACAAGTCATGGTCTACATTACTAAGTACTTTTTAAAACTCGTAGGGAATAACTATTTTATTATTTTTTTTGTTTGTTTTTTTTTTTTTGTGTTGTCTTTTTCATTTTTCATTTTCCACTTCGATGTAAAGTATGGAAAATAGCATAATTTTGTAACACTGGCGAATAGATAATTTCACGCTAATTGACATTGATGACAATGCACGAACATTATTATTACATTTTGTCTATGGGCTTTCATTACTATCTGTATTAATATGATAATTTGAACGTATCGAATTAAGAGAATTCATATTAAGTTATTATGAAATCGTTAGGGTTGGGTGGCGAATAAAATAGTTCACAGTCTATGAACAATTCAATTACTTTATACGTTCGACACTATTGAGCAATTTTTCAATCAATTAATAGAAGAAGATAAAAATATATAGTAAAGTATCTGAACTCACGTTTATTTGTCATTAGTATAATAAATAATTATGTTGAAAATTATACGAATATTTTAAATTCCACCGTCTATGAACTTTAAGCATTTGAAAAATTCTCTATATACAAAATAATAATACATAATTTTTAATTATTAAATTATTTTCAAATAATTGTATAAATGTTTCAACAAGACAGATTTATTTATAGGTGGCCCTATTGCCCTTCATTGCCCTATTATGTTCATTAGGATAATATTCGGTAATTATCTATTATTGACTACAAATTAACATGCAAAATAGCAAAAAATATCGTATTTTGATTTATAATCTGCACAATTTTTTTTATTTTTATACTAATTGAAATTGATATTGTTTACTTAGAACAAGATAAATACGAAACATTGAATGCATCGCATTTAAATATTATTTATTTCATGATAATTATTATTCGAATATTAAAATAAGAAAATTAAAAATTTCAACATTATGAATAAGTTTAATTAATTTCATTTCGATAATTGGCTTTAACTTATTTATTATCGCTAGAATCTCTAGTATATTTAATCAGTAAAATTAACGTTAAATAATCGTCGACATTGGAGTGACTTTTTTAATGATGTGCAAGCCCGAATAGAATGGATATTAATGCAAAAGTAATAAAATTACCTAAGGAATTGTGGGTTATTTTAAGCAGTTACAAATAAATAGTGAGTCTATCGCAAAAAGTTCATATCAGGGATCAAATAGTTTTACACTTGTTCAATATTTTAATTAAAACATAACTACTGTCTTGGAAAAAATACGAAACTCTTTGTGAATTATCTTTGCTTTCGGGAGGAAATGAGATTCTCATTACTGAATAGAAAATTGTTCATTATTTTGTAGGTGTAGTTGTGCCTCTATCGCAGCATATCACAACGACAGCTCCAAGCTTTTATGACTTTCTATGCACATGGATTTGCTATGTGCTATGTATTGTAATGGGATGATATAATTTATATCATAAATCTTGGTTGACGATCATTGTTAGGAGCACGTGTGATTTAAGATTCACGATGAGTCAATAGATAAGGACGCAGCCTTCCATATACAATTATTAGATGTCGCAACTGTAACACCACGAGCAACTATCACCCACGCTCAACGGCTCCAACATTCCTGCATTATTTTCAAAATAAAAACTCCCTTCCCCCACGAATTATCGGCCTAATTGCGATTTAAGCCCGTGAATCGAGGTAAGGATAACAACACGACTGTGTCGCTTGGGAATCGGTAATAATTAGCAGCGGTGCCATGAGCGAGCGAAATGACGATAGAAGAGAGGATAAGTATTAATCCGAGAATAATAATCCTTACCTGCCCGCCAACCATGCCCTGCCTCAACCTGGGCAGATCGGTCTGGCTCCAGGCGCTTTTGCTCCAGGGGACGACTTGTCTCAGGTCCGTGTCGAACTCGAACTCTGCCAACTGATTGTGGACGAAGTTGCGGATATTCCAGGGCAAATCGTTGTGTCCGTCGATGAGGGGTACCTCACTCAGGACCTGACGCACTTTCTCCAGGCGCTCGCGGCTCGTCTCCGCCGACTCTTCGAGCTCACCGGCGACCGGCCGAGGACCCGCCCGGCCCACCCACACGCTCAGCCGCAGCACCAAGAGCAGCAAGAGCCGCGTATTCCCCAAGCCGCGTACCTTTCGACAATACGAACAATTGTTAATTAATCTCTCTAGGAGTCCTAGGGGGCGCCCCGGGCGCCCACTGACTACTTTATCGAACGGCCGCGAGTGCGCTTGATAATTAGCTTCGAATTTGCGGAGCGACACTTTTTCTCCCCGCATGCGCTTGGGTATACTAGGGTCGGCCGGAAGGAGATTCACGCTGGCTTCAAGGACTCGTTGGATAAGCGTTCGCATCGCGGTCAATGAATTCGTAGCATTCGAGGAGTGGCGCACGACGAATAATCGAAGGATTTTTAATTATAAGCGATTCCTTGTTACGTACTTGATAAAGAGAATTGCCATCATCCTCTAAGCTAATGACGATGCGAGCTTTGAAATGAGAATAGACCGAGAAAGTCGACACGCTAACCGAATAATTCATTTGATCGATAGAATTGATATTTAATTCCAGCATTTTTCTCTTTCCCGTGCACGAATATTCAATGCACGTACTTTACGTACATTTACTCGCATAAACTTGGCATTGTAAATTCAATAATACGTAAAAAAAATTTATAATTCGAGGGCCGTAATTATTTTACGTTTTTTACTTCAAATATGGTAATTATTTAACGCACAACGTGAGCATCCAAACGCTAATATACGCCGAAAAAGCACAATGAGCATTGATTAATAATTTATCATACTAATCAAATCCGCAAGCAGCTCAATCAGCGTTTAATTGAATGTAATTAAGTTCACCACTAATATATGTAAAAATTATTAGAAATGTATGTCATTTTCTCTTCCCGATATATGTTCAGAATTATTTAGAAAATAAAATAAACAAAAAAACTGTATAATTTTACAGTACAAAAGATCATTTGCCTTTTATCGTATGTAAGTTTTTGAAAGCTTAGTGAGTTAAAAAACTAATGTACTAATTGACGATGAGCAATGAACATTTTGTGTATAACCGAACATTAAAAACGTTTCAACTAGTTTGAAAATCCATCAATTTTATTACCAAACAACAACTTTTCTTGTTTATTTATAATAACTTGTTTATGAAGAAAATTATTGGGGAAATTTTATGTTTAGTAAGAGGTTACTAAGAGAAAATGTATGGTAATGATTTCACATTGCATTAATATTAAAATTATATTTTTGACATAATTATTCGAGCATTAACTAAACAAATTACCCTATTAGTTATTCGAGCCACATAAGTATAAATCATACGGTCATTTTTATTTTATCGCAACTTTTATAATTAATTTTATTATGCATAAAACTATAGTTTAAAACATCTACGATTAAATATTTCTTTAACTCATATTTTTATCGGCCACATAAGTAGTGCATAATGTTAACTTTGAAACAAAAAGTGTAATTCACAGTAAGTCAAACAGTTATAAGAATATTTATAAACATCGATGATAATTCATTAATTTATATGTCTTCAATAAATTAACAAATAGCATAAAATAATATAAGGAATTTAGTATTTCTATATTGAAATTATTTGTGACAGCTAATCACAAATAAATCATCTACAGTTATTACAAACATATAATTAGCATTAATTGAAGATTCCTACACATTAAACACTTGTAGTTTTCACTTGTCAGTTTTTTCTCTTTTTGAAATGAAACTAACGAATACCTCAAATATTACTTCATTAAGTAAGTTATTTATGATTTAGGAAAATATTAATTGTATTTTTTAGAAATAAATTAATTAATAATATGCATAATTTTTAACATTGTTCCATATGACTAAATTTAGCGCACTGTTTAATAAAAAAAAAAAAAAAAAAAAATGAAAGGTAATTCTATATTTTATCTTTGAAATCCTTGAATTTCGAGGATTTTCTATATTTAGGTAATAAATCAAGTTAGTGATATCAATTTTTATCAAACACAATTCAATAAAATTGAGCGTAATTTTTCATATTCAAGTGTAAAGCTATAAGTAGCTTATCCAGTTTTATCTAATTATATTCGCCATGAATGAAACTGGAAAAGCTGCCGATTTTTCTTTACTCATTCCTCCATTCATCGACATTAAATTTTAATAATAATGCGAATCGTTGACGACATTTCAATCAATAAAACAAATTTTTGTCTTAAAAGTGGGTTACTATCCATAAATTAATCTTAAATTTGTATTTATATTTAGTAGAATGTACTCTATTACAAAAATAATACGTCCTTATTAATTTTAATGTCCTTATCACAGGTTAAAATTACACGATCATTAAAAAATGGATTTAAAATAGCTAAAGTTCAATTGTAATATTAAATAGCATGTATATTCATAATTAATTGAGGTAATGATCAATTTTGATTATTTGAATTTACAAAAACAGAAATATCCACTTTTTATTCTAAAACTTCTGTAAACTAAAAAATTGTTGATTGATTGAAAAATGCTAATAGCGAAGGCACTAAATATGCAAAAACATAGAAATTTTTAACGTTAACTGTCAAGTAAAATTATAATAAGATTCAGCAAAAATTATTATCAAATTTGAGTACATCGATTAACCAAATTTTTGTGTGCGAGAAAGAACTTGGCAAATGCAAGAATTGCGTGTTAGAGATTTATTAAATAGATAAAACATGCACAGATTAATATTAGTATTTGAATTGCATAAAGTCATTCGAATTTTTTAAAACATTCCGTAGGCAATTGATAAACTAAGAAAATCATTTTAATAACATAAATATAAATGCATATGTGTTTATTCAATATTATTTTAATGTTTTTCTGTGTTTTATTATTTTAATCGTCGGTGACGTGATATTTTTATGCTAAATAATTCAATAATATTAGCTATTTTTATACTTTACTTACTTGGTACTTGTTATAATAATTTTTATACAAGAAATACGTCTCTTTCATTTTCTTTCTAAGCGAAAAAAATCTGCAAAATCATGGTATTTTCAAACTAATGATTGCCGAAATTAGATATGTTTTTTAATCCTCTTAAATAGTGTAAGTACTATCGAAAAATAAATTAAATAAAATACGGATCCAATAAATTATACTTTTTTCTGCATACGAATGACTTTTATTTTATATTATTTGTGAAAATATTTAAACACTTAAAAAAATTATTTACCGAAATCTAAGCATTAATTAGTGAAAGTACTATTTCCGAAGTCATATCAAATAATGTATAATGTCCTTTATACATTATACGTTACACGTTAGTAAATATAAGTTTTCGTGCACTTTAGTTAAATACTAATTGTCATTAAATTTGTTTTTTCAACGTTCATTGAAAGGAATAAATTATTGTGTGTGTGTGTGTGTGTGTGCGCGCGCGCGTGCGTGCGTGTGTGCGTGCGTGTGTGTCTCTCTCTTGCGTGCGTACGTGTGTGTGTGTGCGTATGCGTGTGTATTATTTTCGTGTGAACGCATATGCTTCGAGGAGCAAGAATTGAAATGTTTATTACTTTACATTTAGAATGATCGAAATTCAATTTTTAGAGCGCAAGTCAAACAGCCAGAAAGGAAAACAGGAAAGTTAGTTCGTTTAAAGTTTTGTTAACGCCCGTATTCTCGAGGTAAAATAAGAACTTTGCCTCTGGGAACATTCAATCTAAAATCCTATTTGAAATTTCCCATCATTCTCTGTGTCTCAGTTAAAAAACAAAGTATCGACTTAAAGGGAAGTTTTGTCTAAAAGTACATGAACTGTGCATGATTAGTTTTCTGCTATTATTTCAATAAGAGATATGACGAATATTAGCTGGAGCTTTGGTTTAAATACATTAACGCACGTATGTATTCTCGCACTTTTACTAAATATAATTTTATATTATCAATGCACACTCCTATTATTGTCATATGTAATTTGAGCTTCTTATAGTGAATAGGCTTTAATTTATATTTAACGCTTTCCAAGTTCGACGCGTTAATTAAGTAATGTTTGGTAAAATTTTAAAAAGTAAATAGAAGAGAGATTGCTCAATCGTGTTTAAACCAAAATTTATGCAAATACACGCGAAAGAATGGTTAGAGAATAGAGTAGAATAGAGTTATGGAATAGAGTAAAATTAAATACAAACCGAATTAGAGAAATTTCATTTTAACGAAATTCATATTATTGAAATTATATAAGCGTGAATAAAATGTTCTGATTCCATGCTTCGTCATTTAATAATAAGTCTATTTTTCATAAACAAACAATTATTAAAACTGGAACTTGTTAGTTAATTAGTTATTTGAATTAGTTATCAGATTTTTGTTGTTGCATTTGTTTGGTTTTTAATTAAAAACATGAAAACTTGCACTACGTGTAATGTATTAATATTTCTGCTGTACATAGAATAAAAATATCAGCTACATGAACATTTCAAATTTCTCAACAGAGTTGTTAAAAGTTTTTCCAGCGGAATGGAAAGCTCAAAAAGGCCAAGAGGAAGATTGAGCCTTAAAGCTCCCAAGACATTTTATATATTACTCCATTTTGTCGGGCGTGAGAATATTCTGAATATTAAAATATTTTCACAGACTTGCACATTATCAAGCGATATATATCTTTATAATAAATTATCAAAAGATGTGTCGTCCATTGTATTTCAGCAAAATAGCAACTAATCAAATAGCAATAGTGAGTATATTTTACTATGAGCACATATCTTTCCGAATCCCTTCGATACTTTATCAAGTTTTACGCATTGCAAAATCGAATTAAACATTAAGCTTAACATTATCTAGTAATAGATGAAAAATCGTTTTAATAAATTATATTGAATATTTATCGATATTCGATTTTTAATGTTTATCGTGTCCGATATAACTATATAATATCATAATGATGCAACATAGATGGAACGTCACTTCTGTATTTATAATTACAGTCATTATCTTAAACATTAAATAGACAATTAAACAAATAGAATTAATTGCCAGTTATATTGGAGAATATTATAACTATCTATCTATCGGAAAAATGTATTAGTTTTAATAAAATAATTACTAGTGATTGGTTATTGAATAACAAATTTTGATATGTAATAATTCAACTAGATTTCGAGGAGTGATACGGTAGATCAGAGAGTTCTTAAATTTTGTTGGCTAAACGCTCGTAGAATAGAATTTGGATATTGTTGTTTAATAAATTATTCATTATATGATTTAGAGGTAGGATTTGAATAAAAGAATTGATGTGTACTGAATTTTACTTTAGTGACAGTTACGACTGAGTATGAATGGGTAATAATTTATCCGAAGCATTTTGGGTCCACGATGAATTAAATAAAAAAGCTACACGTTATCACCATTTCTATTCAATTTAGTTTCGCAATAGATCATTAAATTCATACAAAAGAATAAAAATGGATCTCTTTAAATAGTACGCTAACTCAAGTGTTAGCGTATGCAAATGATTTATGTTTAGCGACTGATGGCGAAGATGCCGAAATTAAAACTGCAGAAATGTAATTTAGTGGGAAAAAAAAG